TACAGTTTTAAAGTATTTTTAAATTTTCAAAATCATACCGGAATTAGTAAGAGATTTCTAAATCGCATTTTGCAGAGCGCATCACTCTGCACAAGGTGATATTACTTTCAAAGTTCACAATGGGGTAGATCATGATGGAAACAAATGTAGCATCGCTTGTGGCCCGGACGACATCCCGGTGGTTGTACTAAAAAAGAACGTTGTAGTTTTTGCACATCAATTGTATTACAAAAAATAAAAAGCAAAGCGAAATATTTTGTACCACGGATAATAAAGTTTAAAAGAATTTGCACATAAGACAAAAAGACTAAATGACATTTACACAAAATAAAAGTGTTCGCATATAAAAGTTTTGTTTCTGACAGAAAAATCAAAACATGCGCAAACTTGGCTTCACCGCCGAAAACCTTTCTTCATGTCTAATTCATTTAATCTTCCTTTTTCTAGTTCATTCCATCTTACAACATTTCTACTTACACCCGAATCTACTTCTTAGAAATGAGTTAAATTTCTTTTTATAATTTGGTGATGGCAATACATAGATAAATAACGTAGCTGTCAGTGGTAAAAGTGAAGCTAAATATCCAAAAAAATATAAATATATTTGCCATTTATATTCAATACAAGCTAAAACAAATGTTAAAATTAAACGGGGTAATTCAGACAAAATAATTAACAATGGACTGATTATTATCGGTTTATATTTAAGTAATTGTTCTTTAATTATTGTTGATTTTAATTTATTCTTAGTCTTATTTATGCTTGATAATAATTCTTTTTTTATTATATATAGTAAAAATAGAATTGTTGACGCTAAATTAATTGAAAAGGGTAATATTAAATGAAATAAATTCATGAATATTTCGTATGAATTTAACCATTTCAAATTAAAGTTTAGCAGACACCATGGATGCCCTTGAATGTTAGCAGCTATCGTTGGTTCGTCGACTAAATTTAAATTGAACGGACGATGTAGTGAGCTTAAAATATTTACGAGAAAAACCACTGGAATCAGCGAGTGAGCTATTCTAACAGTTTTTAAACTTAAATTTTTTGTAAAATTAATACCTTTCATAACTGTGTAGGCTCGTTCACAAGCGACACAAACTGTTAACCAATCAAATATCGATGGTATTAAACGAACAAAATACTCAAGAAACACACAACTAACTTTTAAGAGCAACAAACTTTCAAACACATACATTTGTGTTAACAACATATAAGTAAATCTCAATCCGAATATAATCAAACCAGCTTGGCTTACGATCGACAAATACAGCAGATATATACCACAACCAATTTGTCTCAATTCCGTATCACAAAAAATAATGATGCTACATGTATTACAAACTAATCCTACGATCAAAATCAAAATAAGAACTCCTAATGCTACTTTAATAAAAATTGGCTGTTGTTCTAAAGATGCTCTGCCTGTTATCATTTCTGCACCAACTAAGATGTCTAATGTGATAAAATATTGTCCAGTTGTAAATTGACATATCGTACCAAAATAACATTTTGGACACAAACAAACATAATCCCATTGAGCTTGTAGAGGATTTCGTTCTATACACCAACCATGATTGTAACAATGTTGACAATTACTGTAGCTGTTATCAATAGCAGCACATTCGCTATTGTGGTCTCTAGTACACAAACACATGTAATGTTCATCGAAAAAACAACGTAGAGCTAAATTCAACTGGCACGGTTTATGATATAGCTTCAATCGTTTCAAATATGTGTATCTATATAAAACTGTTTCATTGAATAGTTCACCTATACTTGGACATAAATTTTCTGATATAAGCGATGTATCGAAAGTTGTAGCAGGTGAGTTATATTTGATCATGTAATAAAAATTTGTAGTTATATTAAAGAATATGTGTACATATTCAGCCTCACACTGCATAAACCGTGTGTGTGACATGATAAACGTACTCGTTGACAAAATATTTTTAAACAAGTGAAAGATATTTTTGTTAATGTTGTCGACACAAATATGAACAACGGCGGGTATTACAGACAATGACGTGGCACTAATATTAATTAAAATATTTGTTAGTCTAGCAGTCATTTCGCAGTGAGTTCCTTTGAATGCATCTGAACAAACGCAAACATAACCAAAGTTTCTGTTGTCTAATGGCAGACATGAACCATTGTTTTCACACACAACGTTAGCACAAGGATCATAGTTTATATAACACTCTGGACCATATTTGCCTAATGGACAAATACATTTTGCTTTTTGATTATTGAATACAACACATTGAGAATGAGGAGAACATGACGTTTTATTACACAACTTTGACGATAATTGTAAATCACAGTTTTCGCTAAACCACTCTCTGTTACACCAGCAAAATTCTTTTTCTTTCCAATTTATATAGTACATACATATTCCATTTGAACCACAATTTATTTTCTTACAATTATATCCTTTCAATGGTTCATTCTTAAGAGCTATCACAGCAGCTAATCTATTCACAGGAAGAAATGGAAACGATATGTTGAAAAGCCAGCTTGATATATATTGAACATCTGATAAAGTTATCAGATAACAATCAATACGAATCTTGTTTTCTAGCGGACGTTGTGCAGTGAACCGTTCCTGTATTAAATACACCATGTGCTTTTTTCGTTCATGCATATAAGAATTATATACAATTTCTTCGTGTGATACAACCGAATCATTTTCATTTAACAAATAAATAATTAATCGAAATATTATTGATGGATTAAAATAAATTGCAGGAACAATTTTCAGCAGAACAGTTATGCGTCTGGACTGATACTGACAATAATCACCATAATAGCCCGGTGAACAAAGACATTCGAGTATGGCGTCATTGTTGTTCAGTAATGTCTGCATTAATATACCACGGTTGCATTTCCAAAATAATAGATTATAACTATCATCAGATGTTTCGACTACTAAGCGTTTACTTCGAAAACTGTTAGTTTTTTTATCTAGAGCTGTAGTCTTTAGCATTTTTCTAGGGTAGGAATCAATAAGATACCAGTTTTCAAGATCATTCATTTTTTTCTCCACAAAGCTGAATGATGTATCAAGATCACAAAACCAAATATCTTCTTTATTTGGACAATTGATTGAATCACTAGATTTAAGGGGACAACGTAGAGAAACATCTTTACAGTGATCTTTCGTAGAATTTGACGACCATAACCCTGGACAAACTAGCTCATCATCACTAAATGGACAATCAACTTTTCCATCACACACTTGCTTTGGTGTTATACAAACTGTACTATTCATGCAATAGAAACGTTTATCAAATTCCAGTGGATTCAGCTGTGTACAAATATTCGTTAAACGTTCATCAGTACCACCAATACAATCAACTACACCATCACCAGCATTTTGTAAGGGTAAACACGTCATGTTGATGTCATTAAAATTATTTATGAATTTTATGCAATAATGTTCATTTTTAGTACAACGAAAATGATAATTTATCACATCAGAATAGTAGGGAATTTCAGGAACTTCATTCAACTCAGAATCACAATTTTTCTCATCGGTTCCATTCTTGCAATTCCACATTCTATCGCATCGTGTGTGGCGAGAATCACAACTATAAGGCCAATGTTCACAATCTGTTTCGTCTGTTTCATTTATAAGACTATTGGAAAGAAAAATCCATTCGTAACCATTGCAAAGTTCAAGAAACCGATAAATTTGTGGAACTTGTGCTTTGTGGTAGAAATCGACAACCCATATTATCATGTTGCCGACATTTAAGTGTCGGGCCAAAATATTCATCTGAACCATCTAAACAGTCAAATCGACCATCCATTACTAATCTTCTTTGGATACAATCTGTTTCATTTCTTGTAAAACACTTAAAATGATCATTTAAATTATACGGACATATATTAATATTAGAATTTTCATCGTCATTCATAAGACAATCTTGCTTTTTATCCTTTACACGATGTTTGGAGATATATTGATGTGTTATATTACATCTATATAATGTGGTGGTAGATGCAATAAGAGGTGTTCGACGCTCACTATAATAACACGAAGAAAATAAAGATACAATATGTTCATAGAAATTTTTCCAAATAAAAACTGTTTCATTTATGGCAAAACATGTTAAATTATTCTTTTCTATTAGCATTGATGGTACGGTTATGTTACAAAAACTAGAATTGTAACAGATAAAATTTGGACCTGTGTATTTCTGCCAATCACTTTCAATATTTTTATCATAAAGAAAATAGACAAATGAATAAACAACTGGATTTGATGGGAAAAAATATGTATCATTAGGACAAAACTGCTGAATATGTTCAATAAGATTATCAAAGCAACTAATATAGGGAAACAAATTACGGAATCCTGTTATACAGAGCATCGCTTGCCAACATTCATTCTGATCACTCGTCAAAAACACTTGCTTAACGTAAATAAAATCTCGTCTGCTCTTGCAAATATCCATACAACCTGACACACACTTAGCAAGATCATAATTTATTGAAGTTATCAAATTTCCTAGACTAATACTGTGGCCGTCACCACACGGGATTTGCAACCGTGCAATATTATTTTCTTCACACTCAAAGTTCGCCAATTGAAAACACAGTTCTGTCTTCAAAAATGGTAGCTCTTGTTCATCACTTTGATCATGACAATCATACATGAGGTCATAAGCAAATGATTTCGGTATACACATACCATTCTTACAACGAAATTCTGTTTCTGCATTACATTCATTCATTTCTAATTCTAAACATCCCGCTTCATCTTCACCTTCTTCACAATCAATAATGCCATTACAAATCTGTCTCCAATCTAAGCAAAGTATGTTATTCTTACACTGAATATCTGTGTAACAAGTTACAAAATCAATTGTCATTCCTTTATTGGATACAGTTCCCTTTCTTCCTATAAAATCACGAACTTCATTAACAAAGGTTGTCGAGCGCCAAATAAATACGTTTTTACAATATCTTCCAAATATTGACAAATTAGTACAATTACAATAAACTTCATCATCAAGGCCAGTCTTAGATAACAAAAGATATTTTCCATACAGATCCATTATTTCAATCACTGCATTCCAATTGAACAAATCAGCGGTACTTATATTTCTTGACTTTAATTCTGTAAACATGAATTTCTGTCCATTACATGATTTCTCCTGATCATCATCGAATTTTGTTGGTGGTATTTCAGGACGAACACAATATGGTATAATAGAAATAAACTCATACGTGTTAATAAACATACTATTGTAGTAATGAAAACAATTATAATCAGCCATAGTGATGGAAGGCGTTCTTCCTTCTTCTGTTTGATATAAATTCAATTGGGCATAACTACTATTTTTTAATTGCCAGTACAATATCACAATTATGAATGTATGCCCTGTAGGCCCTAGAATATCGATACTCAATTACGTTAATGTAATTGCGATTTCTTTTCACTAATGATCCGACAGCATATGTCAGTGTGTCTAAAGGCAAAATTTTATCGATTCGAGACAAGCTGTGAGTATATGCAATTGAGTGGCAAGTTTGCATCCTCGCTTTATTTGTAATCTGCATTACTACAGACCTTCGCTGCATCTCGTTGCTTCACCTTAATGAATAAAGTCTTGTAACATTTTACCTTTCATCATACTTGATTTCTGGCTTTGCAGCTGAATTTAAAACTAAATATGTTTCGTTGTATATGACCACCAATAATGAAATGGAGATCTAGAACTAATGATATTATACACTATAAACAACCTCAAAACTCTTTTTTATCCGAGAAATCCTTTCGGTTTTTCATACAAAATAAACTGGAAAATCAGTAGGCTTCCCATAGCGATAGTATAAATTAAATGTATGAAAAGCTTTCAGAAAAGAATGTCAGTTCCGAATAACCAACAGTTAAATTTCTCAAAAAAGTCATGTTCGAAAAGAAATATTAGAAAATTGACTGTGATTGATGAAGATAAAGATGGATTACGTTTTTTTCTTTCAGGACGTCTTGTAAAACCTCAACCATTTTATTAATATCGTTGGCTTACGAGTGTTTGATATCGTGAGCGAGATATGTAGAGTGCTCTAGTGCTGAAATATTAACGTTTTATGAAAACCTGTTTACTTACAGCGTTCATCCTAGAAGTTTCTATAGAAACTTCCAGAAGAGTTTCTTGTACGGCAGAATCTGGTAAAGACATCTTTTCTGAGAAAATTTAGGTGTTGAGAAAATTAAAAACACGAAAAGTTATGATAAATGGAATGTTTTACAACAATGGAAATTGAAAATCTTAAAATTACATTGTTCGAGATGATTTAGCCTTTGAAATAATTGTTTTTCTTATTCTTGAAGACTGGCTTCACGGTGTTGAAACTTCACCTGGAAATCATTCGTCAATTTGCCTTCAAGCTGTTTTAATTTCAGATACTTTTTATTTAGAAAAACAATTATCTCAAAGGCTAAATCATCTCGAACAATGTGATCGACGTACGAATTTAAGAATATTCAGAAAAGATGTTTTTACCAGATTCTGCCGTATGGCTTGTCTCGAACCGATAAAATTTTGCCTTTAGCCACACTGACATATGTTGTCGGATGATCAGAAGGAAAGCATATTTTTCGAAAAGAACAAAGAAGAACCTGAGATACGACATGAAGTATCCATGGTAAAAATTCTAGCGCGATCGGATCATTTTGTCGATCGATCGTAACGCCTGTGAATGAAAACTAGAGTTTTCAAGAAAACCTATAGAAGAACATATCCGAAATTCGAATCTTGAGATATTGAAATAAAGCAAAGTTTTACAAATAAGTGTCAGAATTATCATATGAAAACCAATGAAAAGCTTTCTAAAAGGAATAAAGGTAATTTGTTTACATCCTTGGTGCCAAAAGAAAAAAGTACTTCATATATACTTTCATAGAGTAGAAGATTATAAGAATCACAACAAAATTATTACTTACCACTTTGTTGCACCATATTTTACCCGGTTTTTTCTTAGGAAACATGATGCAAAAAGAAATAATTCAAAGTTCTGTATTCGTATTGAAGCTGAGACCCATTTGTTATTTGGCGAGTTTGGTGGCAGAACGAAACGTTTCATTTTTCAGCCATAATTTCCACTAGAATAACTTTTGGCTTGCACATGGAGACTTCTGTATGCAAAGTTGATTACGTCATGTTCTCGAAGAAAAGTCCGAGTAAAACATGATGTAATCAGGACTAAAAGAGGATATTCGAACATCTAAGACGCGGAGGCAAATTATGATGATCTTTCTTGTAGTAAACGGTTGAACTTTCTGAGAAATGGCATGGCCTACTTGAAATCATGCGTATAATTGATCTTCATACTAAGATCTTTAGTCTTGAGGGAACTGAAACTGAGTTCTTCAGTACTTTAGTTCTTTATATTGGGCCTTTGATCTTAGCGAAGCGAGAAATCCATCGTCTGCTCTTTGCTTTTTTGAGGAGCTTGTTCACAGTTCTTTTATCTTGATATTTGTATCTTATTATATCTTACTTTGTTTGCGCTTCAATCGTTTCGATTATTAGTGAATTTGAAGCGTGAAATAGCTAATTTAAGGTTCGATGAAATGTTTAAAGTGCCATTGATCTGTGGTCAATCAATGATCACAATTTTGAACATAAAATGTAACGAACGAATGCCTCAATTAGAAAATCAACTATACAGTTTATCGTTAACACTTCAAAAGTTAATAATAATATTGAGAAATTATGACGAATTCCTTCATTTACTAAATTACATGTCGGTCATTGAATACGGTAGATGTTACAGACTGACAAAGAAGATTTGAATATATCAAATAAATTTCATTATTTGACTAAATTCTATTTTATTCTTAAAGGAATACCCAGAAACTGTAATTGAATTAATTCTCTATGGAGTTTATTTTGTAAATTAGAACAATTATCAGTGAATATGGCGTGTTCGACCGTCAACAGTTCATTAATGGTTATTATCTTACACGCAAGTCTGTTGAATACACTAGAAAAAACTAATTGATATTCTTACCCCGTCAGAAACCTATGTATATACATCTGATTGTGACTTGCCTTCAGAACATGTTACTAAAATATAAGGATTTGTAATGATTGCCATACTGCAAATGAGTATAAATATTAGAAGATAAATTTTTCCCCAGTGCATGTATTTGTAGTTGATCATGTATCAGTCACTGGTCATTAGAACAGTGGAATATTGTTGAGGATGTGTCTGATGTTTGTAGTCAGATATGCGATACTATTTGGCCTTGTTTAGTACTAGCCTGAATGAAACAAGCAAAGTTCATTTACTACCGCACACAAATCTAGTTAACATGAAGGAACCAATCATTGACAATGGTTTACTTTGACTAATTTTAGTTATTTCTGAGTTAACTTCCCCAGCTCTTCAGAATATTAGAATTCTTGAAGATTTCATAGACCCACATACCTCGATGTATATGTGATGGATATGCTTCTGTTATCCCTAGAGAAATCATTAGGTGCAAAGTTTCAGAATTGCAACAAAATCTTTCTTATTATCGTCTCACTGAGGAGTTACGATACTATACTTTACACATCCAGAGCTTACGGCTCTAGGTCTTTACAGGTTATAAAGCTTTCAGTCTTTCATGGCAGACTTATACATCGACTTATCGATCTGCTTATTAAAGTCGGTGGAGAGAATTTGTGATTGGAATGATGATAATCATATTATTTATACTCTAACTTTCCAAAAGAACTTGAGAATGTCTTGAAATATATATGACATGAAATAATCCATTTGAGATGTTTTCTAGGAAAATTAAATAATCCAGTCAAAAACGATCCAACGTATTTAATCCATTAAATCATTAACTTTATCTAGAATTAGTTCACATTTGAAAGTTGTTATTAATTTGTATGAGTAATACTCCTCCATAATTAATATTGATACAGGGAGCATCATGACACGAAAATCCTATGGGATCCTACGGACGAGATGAAACTTTTGAAATTATCTATGAGGCAAAACGAAACAGTATGCAAATTTTAAATCTAGGATACGACGATGCAAAAAATTTCATCTCATGCGAGATTTTAATTTGTTGTTTTTTGTTAATCAATAGTTTATCTTTTTATTGCAAAAGTCTTATGATGTACAAATGTAATATAATGTGATGTAGATGCAGAAATTTACAGCTTTATATGTTGAAACTAATAAAACAAATGAACGAGGTTGCCTGCAGCAGGAAAATAGATCCAAACTTTCAAATTCTGCTTGACAAGTGCTAGTTTCTAGGAAAAACGTCATTTTGTGGGATATTACTGATGAAAATTTTCGTCCCGACCCACAGCGAGCCCTGATTGATACTGATGGATAAAACTCAATCTAGTTCATCAGTTGATGCACTATTAAAATCAGCCTCTACAATCAGTTCACTTGGATTTGATTTAACAGCACAGCATATAGCAATACATCTTTTTGACTGTTTAAACTACGGCTGCTACAATGTCACCATGCTGTATAAGAGAATTAAATGATTAAATAATGTGCTGAAAATAATAATGAAACAAAAAACAGAAATGAATCAAAGTCAGCATCATATAGTGATCTAATTTCTATTAGATTGACGATCGAATAAATCTGATGCATTTTTCAATGAAAAGTGCTGCTGCCAAAGTCCATTTTATAGAGTAGACAAATGTTCATGGATTTTTTTTTTGGAGGGTTTTCCTGAAAGTTTTTTGACAGAAATTTTAATTAGATTTGAAAGAAGGTACTTGGCTACATTTACATCCATTTTAAATCAGATTTCTGAGGCACATTTAATCATTAAAAAATGGGAGTGAAACACTTTCGAAAAAAATGAAACTTTGTAATAGCAGCCTTTTTTTCTTTCAATCAAGCAGTTGGAGAAAAATAGATCACTGATTCAGATACCAAAAATTTTTCGCTATAATTTGGGTATACACCAATTTTTTTCTCGAAATCTCTTGTTTTGGAAAAAAATGAGATATTTTTGATGTATTCTAAAAAGATTTTCGTCTTTTAAAAATTTCATAAAATTAAAAAAATTTTGCTTTTTTTTAATGCAAGATAAAAAACTGGAATTTTTATTGCAAATAAAAGGTTAAGACAGAAATCTGTGATCAAATTTTCAGCCTTTTCTTTTGGTTACGTGGTTTGGAAGATATATAAACTTTAAGTCTTTTCACTGACATTCTGTAACATTTAGTCGTTATATGTAAAAGTATCATCTATAAATAAAATGCATTTTTCTGGTTGGAATGAGATTCAACGGAACATTTATTATTTGAAAATAAATTAAACCACTCGGTTACATTACATCTGACAAATGAACGATATACACTCATTACGAATAAATATAACCATTCTGGCAGAGCTATAAGCAAAAAAATGCAGATATAATTGCAGAGATACTGTTTCTAGGTGAACAATTTGATACATATGCAAACTGCAAAAAAACACAATACAACAGAGAGAGAAAGAGAGAGAAGTAGACAGACATATAGATAGAAAAATGATTAATTATTATCGACACTATGTGTTTTCAAATGTTCTTCAACGTTAACTTTTGGTTTAATGAACAAACCACGCCCTTTGGCATATTGAATACCTTCGCCATTTTCTACTACACATTCAACAAATGCTTTTCGTCCCTCTTGTCTGTTAACATGAGCACGTACCAATACCCAATTGGGTGTTGCTATTGGTTTCAAATAATCAATATTCAAATTAGCCGTAAATGATGGACCAACACAAGCAAATGCTAAATATAAACGGAGAGAAAGATAAAAATTGATAGACATATATTTATTCGTGCATTTACCTGCTGCTCCCGATACTTCATCGATCATGGTTGCTGTTAAACCACCATGGACAAGTCCCTTATGACCACAAATACCATGACCTAATTGAAATGCTACTCGTACTTCTGGTCCATCCATTCCATTACAACTATCAGCAGATTTTATTTCATCTTTAAATCCATCTTCAACAAGTTTTGCTTCTTTATCACTACTCATAAAATAATAAAAATGTTGAATACCATTTGCATTTAATAAACTATCAAATAATAAATGACCGGTAATATCGTACAGTTTAGTACGATCAACATATCGACCATTTGATGGTAATTGTTGTACCCAATCGGGAGCTGATGATGGTATAGCGGGTAACTCAACAATATCATCTGTATCACCTAAATTATTAGCGGCCATGGCTATATATCTGAAATAAACAATAAAAATCAGTAAATACATGAAGAAGATTTTAGCCGTATACTTTACTTCGATGTATGGTGAAATGATAAAAAAATAGAAGTTTTGACGTAAACAATAGCTTTCTGAATAGTATTCGAAAACAGAATGGCAATAAACAATCGACGAGGACATGTAACTCTGTTACCGTAGTGAAATTCTGTGACCAGATTTTGACATTTTATTCTTCTTCTAGTCTTTTAATGAAACAACTCTCGAAGCTGTACAACATATACAACGGCCGAGCAGACTTTTCTAAATTAAATGAAATGTGTCTAGATTCTGCGTGATCTTTTGTTTAGAAAATACGATGAAAATATTAAACGCTACTTTTTTTAAATAAAGTTAGAAAAGGGTATTCCGTATTTTCTTTGTATTGTCTAAACAAAAGATTACGCAGAATCTAGACACATTTCATTTAATTTAGAAAAGTTTGCTCGGCCGTTGTATATGTTGTACAGCTCTGAGAGTTGTTGGTTTAAGCTTTATTGATAGAGAAAATAACTAATAAGACATGCAATCGGTCCTAGGGTCATTACAGCATGTTATACAATTGTATAAAAAGTAGGTTAGCAGTATAAAAGAAAGGGAGATAAGAGAAGAAGATCTTATAACAAAAATAGAAAAATAAATAAATAAAAAAAAATAACAATAGCAATAATTAAGAGGCGGCAAAAGGAAGAAGAAGAAAAACAAAGAAAAAAGAGTAAGACAGAAAGAAAAGGATAAGGAAAATAATAATAGACCATATGATGTCAAGTGAATAAAAGGAAGAAGTGACGAACAGTTGGTTTACTTTCTACCATCTCATGCTTTTTTCAATAAAGTCACTCACACAATCGATTATCAATTGAGAAGTGTCTGTATTATTAGTCTGAATATTCAGCATAAGAAGTTCAATAGACAAATTAATAGGGTCTAAAAGTTTGAAGACTACCTTACGAATTGTATCATACAATTTGCAGTGAAGAAGAAAATGCTCTATTGTCTCGTCGCTACCGTCACCACAGGAGCACAGAGGCGAATTAGTGCAACCCCGTTCATATAAATAGAAATTCAGCTGCGGAAAATTACATCTCAAACGCATGAACAGGCTCTCAGACCTTCTGTTTAGAAAAGTAATGTGTGTGGGAAAAACGAGCTCCTCCCTTTTATCAATGAATGATTTTTTCAGTTTATACTTTATTGTGTTGAGTTTTAAAACACACAGTGATGGAAATGTTATCAAGAAAGCATTCCATTCGTCTGTGGCTACCGTGACAAAATCTCTAACGCGTTCAACTGTTACCAGTCGTCCCCCACTTCTTAGATTATATCGCTGATTTTGATTTCGCTGAATGTACTCAGTTAAATTAGAAGCTGTGCAACCGCGTATAATTTTTACATAATGTAGTAAACGATTGATGTAAAAAAGATCGCATAGGTTTAACCATCCCAAACTAGATAATACTCTTTCACTTGATGTGCCTTTCAAACAACCTAACACAATAAAACCAACATGATACTGAATTGTTTCCATTTTTTTGAGATTGTCTTCAGTTGTGATAGAAAAAAGGACCGAGCCATAAATAAACAAATTAAGGACATACGACTTATATATCACATCAAGCGTTTTTCTATTTAGCAACCATTGACTGTATCTCATAAGACCGATAATCGAGCTAGCACACGAACAAAGTTTATTAATGTGAGTTGTCCAAGTGAGATCATAAGATAAACTAATACCTAGATACTTCACAATCTCGTATTCTTTGATCGGATTTCCACTAAGAATGAGAGGAGGCAACTGTAAAGCTCTTGATCTATACCAACGACTAGAGAACGTTATCGATTCACATTTTTTGAGATTAAGATTCAAGCCCCACGATATAGACCGATGTTATATAGAGAGTTGTTTCTTTAGAAAACTAGAAGAATAAAATGTCAAAATCTGGTCACAGAATTTCACTACGACAGCAGAGTTATGTGGCCACGTCAAATATCATTAACACGGACAGTAATGGTTCTAACATAATTCTGAGTAAAATAAAAAATATTTACAATAAAATCAGCAATATTCCCAATAAACAGTGATTTTTCTATCAATCATATATCCTGAACATTAGCTCAACGGATGTTCTGTCAACTATTCTCATTCTGAAACTATGATAAGAACATGAAAAAAACGTCTGCTGATACTTCTTTTTGTGTACAAAAATAAAGATTTCTAGATGCTGATGATAATCTAAAAAGTGGAAAACAAAATTCAAATGTAACAATAAAACATATTGTAGACAAATAGTACTTTCTCAGATAATCTTATATACAATAATCTGAGATTATTAATCTCAGTTTTATTCACTCAAAACATGACTCCAATTCTCGAAATTGTTTCTGTTTTAATCCTTTTTAAGTCTCATTTCCACAGACAGAATGTTTAGTATATTCTCTCTTTTAACTAGTTTATTTCGAATCACTCGAGAGTCATCAAAGGTCCATGACCTGTAATATCGATGACTCAGACCAGAATAAAAAGAGATAGGGAAACAAAAAAAAAAAATAAATAAAACTAAAAATAATAACAGAAGTAAACAAAAGAAAAGAAAAAGAGACTAGAATATGCAACGAGGATATAAAAGTAACAATAAAAGATAGACACAAATAAAATAACTGTAGAGAAACAACCAATACCAGTTAATTATGACTAGGAACACGGCTGATATTTTTCTGTAAGAGATACTGAACTAGTGCCTTTTTGAAAGACGCTAATGAAGAAAAACAAATAACTGAATCAGGAAGTTTATTCCAGTCAGTAATAGTTGAATAGTAAAAAGAAGAGAAAACTGTTTGAGAAGAAAAACCATTGATAGAGGTTGGAATGCAAACATATTTAGAATGATGACAGCGTAAGGAAGAGTAATAAGGACGATGAATAGAGTAAAAGATAGAAAGAGGACTAAGACGATGATAAAGTTTGAAAAACTGCACTAGTCGAAAATATTTACGGCGAAGAGAGAGGTTTGGAAGAGAAAGTTGTGACACAAGTAAAGAGCGAGAAAAGCGATAGTCAAAATTACGAGAAGCAAGATTATTTACAGAATCAAGTACAGAAAGCGAAAAGGAACTATCGTATAAGGCACAACAGTAATCAAGTTTAGGAAGAATAGAAGAAAGATAGATTCGACGACGAACCTCTGACGGACCGAGTCCAAAGACACGACTCAGTGCGCCTAGCTTGCGTCGACAAGCAAGAGCAATGTCTCTGGCATGTTCACTCCACCTAAGATCGTACGAAACAAGAACTCCGAGCCAACAAACAGAAAACACAACGGAAAGAGGGACTTTATTAAGATACAGCTGATTATAAACAAACGGGAAAGGATCGAAACTACAAGGAAGCCAAGAACATTTAGACACATTGAGAGACATGAGATTAGAAGTAGACCAATTTGAGACAGAATTTATACAGGTCTGAACATGAGAGAAGTTAAAAGGATCCGAGAGACAAAGAGGTACAATTAAAAAGACGTCATCCGCAAAAAGACAGATTTCACAATTATATGGAAGAGAAAGAGGCAGGTCATTAATAAAAATAAATCTTTGAATTCGTTTGTATATAAAACAGTAGTTCTTCATAACTAACTATACGTATAGAGTTATTAAACTCGGCTCATGTGCACAGTGTTTTTAATAGGATTTTTTTCAGAGTAGAACTTTTCATTTTGCCATTAGCGTCAAAATGGGATTTTCCACTTTGATATGAAATGTAAAGTGGACAAAATGGGAACAGTTGAAATTTTTGTCTAATAACGACTAAAAGAGATTATTTTTACCGTTACAGGGATTTCGTTTTATCACTTTCAGTTAAATGAACCGAAATTAACTTCTCTACCCTGATCAATTACAAATTTAACAACAAACATCTTAGATGACTCATCTAAAACAAAATAGGACTAAAACAACAGCTGTAAGTTGAACACTTCTGAAGAAACAGAAACGCTGCAAAACTTTTATACGTTGAGATAGAAGTCACAAATCCTTTTGGACTAATATCCTGTCGATGTTAATCTTCAGACATCAGCCATGTCGTATTGTGATGAAAATTCGAGAAATAAACAGAAATTATACTGCTCACAAATGTTCAACAAACAGAGATCTATGGGTTAATTTTGTAAGGCAGAAAATATCAAAAAAAAGATAAAGTGAAAATTTTCAAAAGAAAAGTGAAAAAGAAAGTGACATATACTTTTCTTAGTGTGGAAAACAGAATGGAAATTCAGTATTCAAAGTGGAAATCCATTTTGCCCTCGCTTGTCCCACTAATCATTAAAAACACTGCATGTGCACATAGATAAGTGAACTTAGGCGCAGATCGCGACAATCAGTGTAATCGTTGTTTTTTCATTCACGATACGTACCTAGCCCTTGCACAAAAAGATTATCATTCGCAATGCTAAGGAGAATCTCTAACAAACTATTTTATTTTCAACAAATTTTTGCGTGTTTTCTAGCTCACATTTATTATCAAGTGAGACAAAGACAGACATTTTAAAGAACACGAAATGGTTTTCTTCATCTTTTTATCCTACGGAATCGTAACGGTCATATTTTGTTCTCAAAGTGCACTGCTACGTACGTTTTTAACATGACAGGCAAAGCATAGACAAAAGCGTATTTTGTCTAATATTTGTTTTGACCTTCGCTACCGAATGTATATATATATTTCTATAGGATTGTTGTATCCTTTTGTGGCTCCCACTAACAGTTCCAAAAAATGGCCGACTCTAAAGAGGAGAAACATATTATATAGAACGAATAATTACGATGTCATTGGATGAAACTTCGATAAATCAGCGTATTCGGATTGATGTCGCTTAGAATCAGGACGAAGATAAAGTAGTTGATTAACTGATTAATTAATTTAGATTAGAATCAAATATTTGAGAAGTTTTGTGGAATTTTATCTTGTCAGATTAAAAAACTTGCTTTTCATTAAGAGAAATTGATTCTTCGCAGGTGAAGAAGAGAATCTTTTTCATAGCTCGAGAGTTGTCAATTGATGTTTACAAATACATCAAAAACATTGAAGTTTAAATGTCGGAATAAATCAGTTAAGAAAACATGCAAAAATTTCATAACGAGTCTTCAGAGAAGTATGGAAAAGTTTATATATCCTGACTTAGCAAGGTTACCATATCTAATGTCAGCATCAGCAGTATATCTGACAATAGTTTATGCCAGTTTTTTTGAATAATGCGAAATGGTTTTTGTTAGTTTAGATATCTGTTGAGATAGGTAATTTATCAAGAACAGTTGTGTTCTAAATTGTTCTTAGTCGATAGAAAATTTGCAGAAGAAACAGATTGTGAAAGTTTCAGAATATTGTGAAAACGAAAAAATGGAAAACAAAGAAAAGTTAAAGCGAACATGGTAATAATAAAAAATTTTATGTTCTTTTGCGTACCACATAATTAAACTAAAAACAGCTCAACAGCCATAGTTGTATATTTTTCATTAACATAATGTAGACGTTTCTGAAGAAGTTTCAGCATTAACTTCACTTTTCTGCTCATCTTATTCAAATATCAGATACTCTATGAAGTTGCAGTTAATTACTCTATCAAAGATACTCTATCAAGAAGTTAATTACTACACTTTAACTTTATTTTGAAGTTTTCAAGCTTCATAAAAAATTCCTACCATATAGAAACAGTGTCGTTGATCGCCATGAAAAACAAGTATAACAACGCATAAGTATAAGCTCAATAAAACTTGTACATTCAAGCAGAAAAAAAATATCAATTATCGGGTGATATAGCTAGCTAGCAATTCAAATCAGCTTATTTACTATCGTAACTGTTAACAATATACCTAGCTAACACGATACATTACTCAATATACCTAGCTAACTCAATATCATTGAAGCTAGCCAGCCTAATATATTACCTGAGATATCGACGATGTATATACATCTGATTGTGACTTGCCTTCAGAATATGTTACTAAAATATAAAGATTTGTAATGATTGCCATACTCCAAATGAGTATAAATATTAGAAGATAAATTTTTCCCTTTGTCTTATCCTTTTTGTTTTACAGCTGCTGTACCTATCTATATATGTAACACATACATTTCAATTTACAGTTTTTATCCATATTAACAGCGTTATCGATTAGGAGATGGTAGAGGGTGGCATACCACCCTCTCGTTTGGATACAGTTACTCAAAAAATTTTGACTTACTCAATTTTTTTAAGAAATTTAAGTAGAGAAACTGCCTTTTCTGATCTGCCTGAGTAAGAGATTTTTTCCAGCTTCTGAGTAACTCAGTCACCCAGAAAACATTTTAATCGAAAAATGCGTTACTCAATGAAAAGTTTAGTTACTCAGCAGGCTCGCCAGTAGCGTGTCTCATTTACTGATATTAAACGGAATAATAAATAGTAACTATCGTAAAATATCTGAGAGTCACCGAATTTTGTATGAGCGCGAAAAAATAGTTATCGCTAAAAATCGCGTCTTATTTTGCGAGTCCTACAG